CATACGTTGCCAACAAATTCAACAGAAACTTATATATTGAAATTATTCATTTGCTTCTTTGTGGTATATTCATTTATCTGTGATAATTTATCTAGCTATAGTCATTTGGATTTCTGTGCAAAATGCCATGCCACCCCAAACAGAAGTTTTCTACAGATATCGGATACAATGTTAGTGTTATGATAACTGAGTACACTCATACCAATCAGATAATTCAATGCTTATACATAGGATTTTTTTTTAATTTTCAAACACTTTGTTAACCATAGCTATATTCATTTGCAGTTAAGTAGCATAGATAAATAAGTAATATCAGTAAGCTGGACATCAAACCTAAATGGATTAAAATCAATGTTAAATATAAAGGTATGATTGCAAGCTTAAAAAACACCTACTTGGTTCCCAGGTGATACGAAATAAAACTATGTAATAGGGGGATAAAGGAAGTTAATGTAGGTAAAATAAGTGAGTGTCTTTGGTTTGGTTTACATTGGTTTGTGTGCAAGTCCTATATTGGACCAGTTTATTACGTCAGTACTCACAGTTGATTTATGTGGACATACGGCTTTATGCCCAATTTATATTCATGTTCTCAGTTCTCAAGTCCTATGTATTCTTGTTTGTTAATAGGGTTGTAGAATTTGGGGTAGTCTTATAAATGCAATCATTCCTATGTAGTCTCTACAGGGAAAAGAAAGTAACTTTAAAAAGCAGAGACTGACAACTAAGATCTGCTCATTATCCATTTAATTAATTTTTCTCAAACACAAACATCCAGAAGTCATTAAATCCTAACAATATAAATTCTGCAAATCCATGCAAAGCAAATGGAGGGTGTTCTTATTTTTTAAAGTAATCTTCAAAATAAAGTTAATTATGATGGTAAGGACCTCTGACTAGCAAGGCAGGATCATTGAAACCAGTAGAAAAGCTCACTGCTACAGTACAGATCCTAACGGACAGATAAAAAAGGTCTCAGGATGGAAGTAAACAACCAGAGATACCTAAGAAATTAGAATTTTTATTGGAATACTGGGTTATCTGAGATAGGTTTTGATACAGGAAACTAATGTGACAGCTGAACTTCTCAAAAACAGATGAAGGTGCAAGAGAATTTGTTGATAGATTTGTTCTAAATCCAGACACTGCTAACATCATCAAGTACAGAAGCTTCACAGATACTAGTTTTATGAACATCTCCTAGTCAAACTATAGTCTGAATAAGTTGCAGTATAGTCAGACTGAGAAGAAATGTGTTAAAAATTGTTATTTTGAAAAAATACTTCAAAGGCAATACATAGCAGACTAATGACACTATCACTAATCAATTTAAGTTGACTGAATTTGTAGACTGATCAGCTAAGCTAATACATTACAGAGTGTTTTTGCACAGTAGAGCTTGATAAGACACACTGCTAAAGTATAGACTTCACTACTATAATAGGAATCTAAATTTTCTGGAAGCCTCAGTAGACAATTATCATTCAATGAAGAAACTCCTTGTGCTATTTCTTCTGCACACCTATTTCCTTAGCAATCCCTATAAAGTGGTGTGTTTGCCATGCAGTATAGTGTAGCTTTAGCAATCTTACTAGGAATTCTGCACTCACTTCAGAGAGGAAAAAGAATAAAAAAGCAGACAGGCTACCATGGACTGAGTACCAAAGCAGTAGCACTACACTTGGGCTTCAATCACCCAAGTTAGTCCACTGTCTGCTTAGCTATAGTGCTATACAATGCAGAAAAAATCAAATTATGTTTTTTTTAACCATTATACAGGTATTTTCAATATTGGTGTTTTCTATTAAAAAGTGACTAGATTTTTTGCATAGCTATATCAATTTTTACATTGTTGTAATGTTACTTTAGTAACTTAATTTGCTGTCTGGAAGATGCAGTGAAATAAGTGGGTTGTGTCAGTGATGGATTATTCTACATGAATCTCTCTTTGGACTAAGCTGAGGCATTAGCCCAAACCAATACCTCAGCACTGTCTGTACTGTCTCACCACTGTGGCAGGAAACTAATTTTGCTGTGTAACAAGCTAAAACCAAAAGTCTGTCACTACATTTTTCTCACAAATTTTCTTTTGTGAGTATGTTTTATGTGTCAATGAAGTCTTACTTGTCACCCTACTGCAATAAGCTTCCAGGCTACTTGTAAGATCAGTTGGGATTGAAATGTACTGTAAAGGCTAATACAAACACATATTGATATGAAATGTAATATAAATCCAAAAAGTGAAACAAGAAGGAAAATGGAATCTGATAAAGAATTATATTAATAGCTGTCAAATGGGCTGTGGAAAGTAAATTTGAAAACAGGGTGCATAGACATTGCTCAAATACTATAGAAAACCTATTACAATATTCTTTTTTATTATTTCCCATACCCTCATTAAGTATCAGTTATACGTAACAATACCTCAAGAGCAACACAATTATCCAAATTTCTGCAGGAACTCAACAAAGTTTTAAGCAGGTGATTACTCAAAATCCTCTTAATCATTTTTAAAAAGAGTAGCATATATTTTCATTATTTGAATAATTCAAATTATATTTGATAGACCATTCAGTGCCTGCTACAGTACTTACAGCTTTGTTCCTCTAGTATGAAATTCAGTAAGATCAATAAACCGTATGACACAACACTTCATCCAATCACACCAGACAAGAATTCAAGATGAGTTTTCTTATACAATAATGAACAATAAAAATAATTAAACATATTGAGGCTTAAGTGATCATAATCAAACTTTAGACTTAATACCATGTTAGGATTGATTTTTTCTGTTTTTATCTCCCATGACATTATCATCATAACAAAAGATGTCTTCTTTTGAATTCTTTTGAATCTAGATGAATTCCTAGAGAGATCAAAATAAGATTTTTAATATTTAGCTACCAACAGTTTCCAGTTTTAAAAGAAATTCTATTCCATTTTAATTACTGAAAATTATTTCATATCATATGCAAGGTCTGGAATTTCAATGGAGAATTAGGGGACATGATGTGGGGGCAATTCTCTATGGGAACTGGAGACAGAAGCTTCGGGTTTTTTATAACTGAGCCACTAGTTCAAGCATCAGTAGTGATCTGTGCAAATTCAGTTGATGTTCCTAGTTCATCAACACAGGTAAAGTGAACTTGTCTGGCAGTTAAAGGATAAGTATTGACCTATCATTTCTGAGAATGAAGTTACTTTCTAAAACCAGAAGCTATGTCTCCATTTCAGATAGAGGCAGAATGATTAGAGAGTTTGGCACACACTGTAACCCCAAAGACTGTTATTTGTGCACATAAGCATGGTGAAGAGGAAGGAGGCAGTGGAAAAAATGGTAAAAGAGAAAGTGATAATAGCTATCAGGTTTAAAGATGAGAAATAGATGGATGGACCAGTCCAGATGGAGATCAGTGATAAGTGGTGACCCTCAGGGATCTGTACTGGGACCAGTACTATTTAAGATCTTCATCAATGACATAGACATTGGGATTGAGTGCACCCTCAGCAAGTTTGCAGATGACACCAAGCTGAGTGGTGTGGTTGACACGCCTGAGAGATGGGATGCCACTCAGAGGGATCTCAACAAGCTCAAGGGATGGGCCTCTGTGAACCTCATGAGGTTCAAGAAGGTCAAGTGCAGGGTCCTGCACCTGGGTCGGGGCAACCCTCAGGATCAATACGGGCTGGGGGAGGAAGGGATCGAGAGCAGCCCTGCCAAGAAGGACTTGGAGGTACTGGTGGATGAAAAGCTGGACATGAGCCGGCAATGTGCGCTTGCAGCCCAGATGGCCAACTGTATCCTGGGCTGCATTAGAAGCAGCATGGCCAGCAGGTCAAGGGAGGGGATTCTGTCCCTGTACTCCACTCTGGTGAGACCCCACCTGGAGTCCTGTGTCCAGCTCTGGAGCCCTCAACACAGGAAAGACATGGACCTGTTGGAGTGGGTCCAGAGGAGGGCCACAAAAATAATCAGAGGGATGCAACACCTCTCCTATGTGGACAGGCTGAGAGGGTTGGGGTTGTTCATCCTGGAGAAGGCTCCAGGGACACCTTACTGCAGCCTTTCAGTACTTAAAGGGGGCTTATAAGAAGAGGAGGACAGACTGACAGACTTTTTAGTAGGGCCTGTTGAAATAGGACAAGGGGTAACAGTTTTAAACTAAAAGAGGGTAGATTTACACTAGGTATAAGGCAGAAATTTTTCACGATGACAGTGGTAAAACACTGGCACAGGTTGTCCAGAGAGGTGGTAGATGCCCCATCCCTGGAAACATTCCAGGTCAGGTTGGACGGGGCTCTCAGCAACCTGCTCTAGTTGAAGCTGTCCCTGCTTGTTGCAGGGGGGTTGGACTAGATGACTTTTAAAGGTGCCTTCCAACCCAATGGTTCTATGATTCTAAATATAAATTCTGAGTCAGAGCAGCAAACTATCTTATGTCTCATACCAGCTAATACTGATATTTCAGAAGAATAAGCAAGAAATGTCTGTTAAAATGCTTCTCTCCAACACTGATAAATGACGCTTATAAGCAGGATGTGTGTATCTTTCGAATTTTCAAAATTTTATTTAACCAACAATTAAAGTTCTGATCCTTGATATGAATAATTCCTTAGCCTCAGTGGTTTCCTGTAAGGATACTTTTCATTGCATAAGGATTTGTTATATATAATCAACATTTGATATTTTCTTAATTTCAAACTTATAAGCATTGTAGTTTCTTTCATCACTATTTAGAAGTATTTTGTCTGCCAGTGAAGTATGTCCTCAAATAAAAATACAAAAGAGAAATTTCAGGCCTGTGACAGTAATACCCAGTCCTTCAGTTTCTAATCACCAGTCAAATATAAGTTCTAAGGCCTGTGCAGTAACCACACTGTCTGTGACCAAGGTGTGGTTTAAATTGCATGTGAAACAAGAATAGCTTCTAGCTCTTCAGCTGGATAATCCTTAGCTACTTCCAGAGTCCATGTTAGGGAGAAAGTATGAGGACACATACCATTTCCTCTGTCAGCTTCCATCTCCTTCAGACGGAAAGGCTGGAAAGCATTCCCTGTAAAGCCAGGTCCCTCAGTGTCCCAAGATCTACTGTGGCAAGCACCTACTTCACAGTTCGGAAATAACCTAAGATTGTACCATCATATTTGTGAAAGTTTGATTCAGTGACCAGTGAAGTCTACGGAAATGCTTGTTGATGGGTCAGAACCCAAGTCCTCAGCTTATTCCAAAGGCTCATTAGCTACACTAATTTTAAAATAACGGATTATTGTGATGTATTACCAAACTGATGAAATAGCCTGATGTACCAATTTCATGGTACAAAGGAGACAATTTTACATAAGCACTAGCTCCATCATGGTTCAGTCCAGGATCTTTTACTGAAAACAGATATGTTGTCTAATAAATTTCATTTTGAGAGCTCTCACTCTCTTTATAAGACCAGAACAATAAGAACTCACATTCCATCTTCCTCTGTGGCAAAACTGTCTCAGTGGACTGGCTCTATCAGAACTAGTCTTTTGGAATCATTTAGCCAAGTCTAAGTTGCAGGTATAAATTTTAAGGCCTGTTTTTTAATTAAACTCTGCATGATTGATATTGCATTATTAAATATCTTTACCCATTTGCATGAGAAGAGAAAATTCTTGAACAACTAATCCTTCTGAAGATAACAAGTGAGAACATTGAAACTGAAGCTATCGGTATTATTCCATGTTTCCTTCAGTTATAGTTTCCTTGCCTTTCTTATCTCCTACATGTTCTTGGAATGACAATTCTAAGTCTTTAAAAATAGCTCTTTCCATGTCACACTGCCTTCAGCTCCCAACAGTATTATTTTATTATTTTATTGTGTGTATCAAAACTATCTTAACTACCATGTTTAGGAGGTACAAAAAAAAAAGTCAAAGGTTACTGAAAAGTACATCTGGAGGCAAAACCAGCTGCTGCTTCATGTAACTTTGGTCAAATACATCCCAAGTAACCTCTGTCAAGAGAAACACTTCGAACTAACTAATCTCTTCATGGGCTCCTCACATACAAGAGTATGCTTATCTTACAAAAAGTATTTACATTTTGGGAGAAAATATTTCTTGCTGTCATGCCAAACGTATTCACTGCAATCACACTAACACTTCAGTTTTGAATTCAGACTTCTTGTCATCTTCAATATGCCAAAACATTGCTGTTCAGCTCTAACACACAGTAAAGAAGATACTCACCAGAAAAAAAACACAAAACAGAAAAAGGGAATTAACAAACTCCCTGTTTGGTGGTAGGGCAGATTTTATATTACAGACAAACAGCAAAGCAAGCCATACTTAATCCATGAGTTTGCAAACCAAAAAATAACTATAACATCTATCTATACTGAAGGGTAAGTTATCAAAAAAAGGTTCTCATTAGTTGTCAGCTCAAAGTAACTTCAAAAGCAGTCCCTGAGCATCCAATAATCTCTTTCTGACAACCTCCTTATCTCTTACAAACTGTTGTGAGAGCTGAATCAAACCAGCATGTCACGAAAACTGCTTTCTGACAGTGTAAATCAAAGGAATCACATGCATCTGATCAGTTAACTACTCCTTTTCAGATCTTCACAACAGATTAAGTCTATAACATGAAAAATATCATAAACCATCTACTTCTGTCACCTGAGCTTGTTTTTTTTTAACTATAACAAACACTATGGAAATATATTAAAGATGATTTAAATATACAGTTCAAAACTTCAAACCATTCTGACTGAATTATGATTTCACATTTCCACATTTAAACATCGCATTTTGAAAGCAAAGTTAGGAAATTATCTTGGACTAAGATTTCACTTTCCAGTTTTTTTCATGTGACATATGACTACTATCTGCATTCATTCACATCTGCTTTGTAAACATATTTGCACTGACAGCATCATAAACACAGTGCCTCCATACAAATTCAGGCTGTGAAGGCTGAAATTACTTAAATATTTCATAGAATCATAGAATCATAGAATGCGTTGGAAGAGACCTTAAAGATTATCTAGTTCCAACCCACCCGACACGGGCAGGGACACCTTCCACTAGATCGAGTTGCTCAAAGCCCCATCTAACCTGGCCTTGAACACTGCCAGGGAGGGGGCATCCACAACTTCTCTGGGCAACCTGTTCCAGTGTTACACCACCCTCATACTGAAGAATTTCTTCCTTATATCTAGTCTAAACTCACCCACTTTTAGTTTAAAGCCATTACCTCAGTCCTATCACTACATGCCCTTGCAAAAAGTCCCTCTCCAGCTTTCATGTAGGTCCCCTTCCAGCACTGGAAGGCTGCTATAAGGTCTCCCTGGAGCCTTCTCTTCTCCAGGCTGAACAACTCCAACTCTCTCAGCCTGTCGTCATAGGAGAGGTGCTCCGGCCCTCCAATCATCTTTGTGGCCCTCCTCTGGACTTGCTCCAACAGGTCCATGTCTTTCTTATGTCGGGGGTCCCAGAGCTGAACACACTACTCCAAGTGGAGTCACACTTCTTTTCATGCCAGGAATCGGTTGGCTTTTTGGGCTGCAAGTGCACATTGCCAAGTCATGTTGAGCTTCTCATCAACCAACACCCCCAAGTCCTTCTCAGGGCTGATCTCAATCCATTCTCTGCCCAGCCTGTATTTGTGCCTGGGATTGCCCCGACCCAGGTGCAAGACCTTGCACTTGGCCTTGTTGAACTTCAGGAGGTTCTCATGGGCCCACCTCTCAAACACGTCAAGGTCCCTCTGGATGGCATCCATTTCCTCCAGCATGTCAATCGCACCACACAGTTTGATGTCGCCAGCAAACTTGCTGAGGGTGCACTCAATCCCACTGTCCATGTCGCCCATAAAGGTGTTAAACAGCGCCGGTCCCAACACCGATCCCTGAGGAGTACCACTCACCACTGGTCTCCACCTGGACATCGAGCCATTGACTGCAACTCTTTGAGTGCAACCATCCAGCCAATTCCTTATCCACCGAGTGGTCCATCCATCAAATCCACATCTCTCCAATCTAGAGACAAAGATGTCATGTGGGACAGTGTCAAATGCTTTGCACAAGCCCGTTTGTTGCAGAACACTTCAAAACTTAAGATAAAAAGTCATATATTTGTGTTTAAATATTTTCACTTGTAGAAAAGTAGGTGATATGTGAAAGTTTCATTTTACCTCTTTTTTGTAGCTTTTAAATTTACCTGAGCATGCAAAATATTATTTATTTCTTCTCTGCTCATATAAAGAGAATAAGGCATAGGACATTGGACAAAATCTCTCTGTAAGTCCAAGGGCAATGTGACTTTTGAGTAATAATTATGGTACACTCCAGACTATACAGAAGTCCATTACACTGTGGAGCCCATAAAAGCCCATCTGTATACAGGTGTTTATATACATTCCCATCTTTTTTTCAACAGTGCACAAAAGAAGAAGGCAAGGAAAGGAGTTTTACAAAGATTTCTGATCATGGTAAAAAATACTCTCCAAATGGCAGAGAGAGTAGGAAACCACTACGATAAGCAAAGTGGAAGAAAATACCTAATTTGTTGAAGATGAGAGGTTCACATCCACAGCCCTGCAATCTCCAGAAAATCTTCATTGGCTGTGGCACAGTTCTAGAAATGCCCCTAATAAGATCCTCTAGTTTTATTCAGCCTGCCCCAATCACCTATGATGTCCAAAAGATTTATCTTTATTTCATCTGTTCCCACATAGAATCACAGAATCATTTAGACTGGGGGGAAGGATTAGGGGAAAAGACCCTTAAGATCATCAAGTCTAACACATGTCCACTGAGAGTCCATCGAGTCCAAGACAGAGGAAAGATCTAGATCTAGCAGTATGCATCCAGCTGACCAAAACATTAAAAAAAATCCCGATTTTCAGGAACAGATGAATTCAACAAATATTATTCCACACATTGTGGATGTAAATATTAGATGACAGGCACCTGATTGTTCATGCCTTCTGAGAGTTGATATTGTCAGCATTATTATTTATGCTTTTAAAATTGAAGAGGTTTTAGAGAAAGGTGCCAACTTCAATGCTATCAGTAGAACTCTGCACAACTGATCTCATACTTTGTGAGTCTCATCTAATTTTTCCTTTAATTCACTTCTGTTTGTGGTTTTACAGCCTCTTAATAAAATTCTTCTAAAACTACTAGTATGCAGACAGTGAATGTGACAAGACAAAAATTAAATTGTGAAATTAATATTTTCAGACATCTGAAACTTGAATGCCTGAAATTAATCTGAAAATCTGAACAGCTGAAATAAACAGCTTTGTAAATGTGGTTCCCATATCAAATGAATAACTTTGTTGATGTTGTTAAAAAAGAGGTTTCAGCACAGCATAAGATTTCTGTAACTTCAATATGCATTTGACAGTAAGCCTTTAAGGGTTGCAATAGTTTTAAAAATTAAGTGTTTTCTTTTAATTAGTATTAACAACACTTGAAAGACACTTCTTTATTCACTGAAGAATCCATATCCCAGTAATTTAATGAGACTTTGTGACTTGGAAAAAAAGGAGTTTGTATAATATGACCCTCTATCATACAGGTCTGAGAAAAAAAATCCATTCAACTGTAAGAACAACCTTTACAGTCATAATATTCTATACCTGCTGTTACAGTGTCCTACAATGACAAGTCCCAAAAGGCTTAAAAGAATCAAGAAAAAAATGCATAGATACATATATCCACATGCAGTTTTCTTCAGTTGCTATTATGTCTGATAGTTTTAATAATTTTTTTAACTCACAGTGAAGTTAAAGATGAGGTAGTAGGATGGATCAAGCCTTAGAAAACCTCTTATTTTTAAGCTATTTCCTTCTAAGAAACTGTATGATCTCTGTGGAAGTAACAGCTTTTCTGAGTATCATTTTGGGCAGACTATGTTTCGTGTTTGTGTGTGAATGAGGCAGGCCAGTGTTTTAAGGAGATAATCAACTTCTAGAAAAAGGAGAAAAACTCTGGCATATGTGTTCTATGAGAAAGCTTGAAATTAGACTGTTAGTGCAAAATGAAGGCTAAAAAAGGAGGTGTCATGAGTAGAAGCTCTTTCTAGTTGTTGAATTCCCCTAGTGTTTAGGAAAGTAGGACTTCACACTTCCATGTAAATACAGAAAACTGCATTAAAAACATGAACTCCATTAACAGTTTTTCCTCTTAGCGGGAATTACGTGCAAAACCTTTAACTCTAGTTAATCCCTTTGGTCAGAAGATACAACAAACAAGCAATGTGTCTAACTGAAAGAGAATTATATTATACATAGCATGTAAATATACTTGAAGAAAAACACAGTAAGGACAGTCACAGGCAAATGAAATAGCCCAGTGGTTATTTTCACATTCACATAACACAGTACTGTCATGCAATATACTTATCAAAGGATTCATATAAATTCAAGCTGAATAGATACAATAAATCTTTGAGTAAGAAGATACAAAATGTTCCTTCAGACTATGCACCATCTCTCAAGTCAGCTTTTCTCTGTATCGAAAATATTTCTCCTGCCCAGTCACCCCCGTGAAGGCTTCCACTTTTTATTTTTTTTTTACTTCACATTTCTCAGGCTTATATAATGCAAAACCCTACTCACTAATTCTGAAAAGCAAACAACACCACCACAAGTTGATTTGGATCACTGTAATTCCACAGAACAAATAACAGCTGGAAAAGATGGACAGAAATAGGAAGTTTCTTCCAGACAGTTTGAGTGGCCAGCTTCAGTCATTGTATAGAAATGATTCCCCAGCACAGATGTATCTAGATTCAGGGCTAAACTCTGGTGGGGGTAGTGAGTGTTGTTTGAATGTTTGTTTGGTTTGTGGCCAAACAGCAACTGGAGCGAACCAGGATACAGTTGATATCCGGAAAGGCAAGGAAAGAGAAGACCTCGACTAGAAGAGGACCAATGGTGGTCCGTCCCCCTGGGTATAGACAGATATCAGCAAAAATTCTCAGAATACACAGGCATTCAACTAGTTCACCGACAGTGAGTTGGACTTGGGCACGCAGATCATGAGGGCTATAGAACTTGCTACTTGCTACAGGATTGAAATCGCTCCTTGTGAAAAGCAAGCAGCTACTAAAAGAAGATCCAAATGTTTATTGCTCTATATATAAACTACTGTCTAACAAGTTTGATGGAAAACATGACACCATTACAGTTTATCTGAATACTTAGAAAAGCAATATATTTATTTTCCAAACAAAATAAATTTACTGTGGGGATCTAACTACTGTATACATACAATGATTTATTACATAGACAAGAACAGATACTGCTAGAAATATAATAGGTTTTTCATCAGGCACATTAAAACATAATTTACAAAACTGTTCTCATATGGAGCAATCTCTAAAAAAAAACTCATAACAACGATTTTGAAAACTGGTTCTCTGGAATTCAAGCAGCAGGTTGGAACAGACAAGAAAGGAAAGTGACCTCATTTCATCGCCCCTATATTTTACTCATGCAGAAAACAATGCATTAAATCCAGGGGATTTTTTTTGTTCTTTACTAAGGTTTTGGGTCAACAAAAGGTTGGTATGTAATGAAAAAATATGTTTAAAAATACTAATATATTTGGTATTTAAGCATATAAAAGTTATTTGAATTTTGCATTAATGCTACTTGAATAGCATAATGGGTGTCATTTTTTCTTAATCGTGGCAGCTAAGAGTGAAAAAATCTACAAGATATTTTAAAGGAAGCAAGCGTTACACTGAACAGTTTACAGAGCACAGGACTAACTAGCATCCTCTGTTAACAAGCTGGGAAAACATAATGACAAATAGAAGTGAAAGTTTTAGTGTTATATAGCCAGCTTTTTTTCTGTCCAAACATAAAATATGGTTATGTTTGCTCAGACCATGTCAAATTCACAGGTCTTCAAGCTTTCCCTATAACTAAAAATTACATTGACTCTAATTTTCCATTGCCTGATAAGATAGTGTCTATATTTTCCAAAGGAAATATAATTCTCTAACGCACTTTGTTTGGCTTACTTCTGAAAATACAGAAATATGCACTACAGAATAAAAGCTGCTTATGCAGTGACCTCTTATTATAGAAAGTGTTGTCCCTTCCTGTTTAAACTTGAATAATTGGCGTTCATTGGTGAGACCACAGAAGAGACAGAATAAGAAATAGCAAGGGCTGTCAGTCAAACATTCTTACAGTTCTAGGCAGGCAGTCAGACAAACAACTGATACGTGAATCTAAGCACCAGTCACTGAAAAATCTGCAGGTGACACTCCTAATCACTGTCTGCAGTTTCTCACAATTCAAGTTTTAAGCAGAACAGCAGACTTTGATGATGCACCTACTGCTAAGAAATATTTAAAATCACTGAGAACATCCCACTGTCAATATTCTCTTTTAGCTTTTATTGTTCCAGGCTAAAGAAAATGCCTACATTTTTTTTCTCTTAACATAGACTAAATATACTCTCACCCATTTCAGTAGTCTTCTCTGTACTTGTTCTAGTTAGAAGTAGCATCTTCTGTAAAGAGACTCTGAGAGCAGAATACAACCTTGCCTGTGAGGCCTTATCAATAACTTGTGTAATTATTGTTTCTTTACAAAAACATCCTGTACATCCCAGAATTCTACTAGCATTTTTGAATTTTGCTGGCAATTTACAAACATCACAAAATCATGCAACACTCTCTGATCCCCATTATTTTCCTTGCTTTCTCCAGATAAACAGTCCATTCTCTGAAGCCAGAGCTCTTACTATTCAATTTCATTTCAGTTTAATTATTTGACTTTTCAAGGTCATCCCATTTTTTTGGTATGATGATCTGGTCTTCATCAGTAATGTTGAAACCTTTCAACTTCACATTATTTAGCACTCTAATTCTTCTCCCTTGGTTGCTACAGGACTCCTTAAACATATTGTTCCTAGATCTGAT